CACTCTCCTCGCTCCCTCTTTACATAACTTTTTTGGACATGATATATTTCTATATTTCTGGTTTTTCGGGCTTTGGAGTTCTCTATTGTATGTACATATATTAAAAAACCTAATGGAAAGATCGGTAGCTTACTATTTGGATTTGATTAGAAATTATAAGTTTATTATATATTCATTTCAATCACCCAGTGTTTCAAACACCCACTTTTTGTAGAGTTGATCAATATTATTTATTTATTTATTTCAAATGTAATTCCACAAAGAGTTTTTTTTTTAATATTTCAGCGCTAGGAATATCATTATTATTATCGGATCATTATTATAGCCAGAAAGAAGAAATTTATTTGCAGTGGCCCCATCCCCATCTTTCAAATGTATGGGCTTTACGCATCTTATTATTATATTGTCTTTTGTTCGATACGTCTCGGTGTACTTTCCTCATAACACTCGTACGACTTTTTTATTTTCTTTAACCAAAAATATTGTTTTTCTAAATCTATCTAGGTTTAACATACTCAAAATTGCGGAAATACACTTTTTTTTAATTAAAATAATAAAATAACAATACGCGACACGATTTTTCCTCAAGGAACCAAACCAAATAGGCTTGGAGCTTGATGAGCTTTGTTTAATGAGTATTATTTCAACAGCAGAATTTTTTTGTAAATAATTTTTAAAAACTGGTATTCATTTTAATGTTTTTTTTTCATATAACATAAGTATCTTGGATTTTTTGATAATGACCTTTACCATTCTGAAAAGTTAATCAACGCAGCTGTAAATTGGACACAAACACTTTGTGTTTTCAGCTTACCGTCTGGGAAATATTAAGCTTTCAAATGAAAAAATTATGATTTTCGGAGGTTTAGTCAACCCATTTTATTACCAATACCTTTAACGCCGCATTAATGCATTTATACACTTAAAATATATGAACACAGGATATAATTTTTTTCAACTTTTCCTGAGGTTAAAAAGTAAACATTTTGAAATAAATACCGCACAAAAATCATAAATTTTCCATTTGAAATCATTATATTTCCCAGACGGTAAGCTACAGTACAAAGTGTCATTCAAGTCATTTTTATAGAAGCATTTATCAGCTTTTTAGAATGGTAAAATTTATTACAGCCAGGTGTAAGATACTTAAGTTATGTGAAAAAAAGCAGTAGTACCTCGGAAAAAGTTTTACCAAAAATACCATTTTTTTTTTAATTATTTAAAAAACATAAATTCATTAACAAATTTTTAAGCAACAAATCTATCAGAAAAAGTCGGTTTGGTTCCTTGAGAAAAAAGTTCGATTTTGTCGATAGCCACTGAAAGCTAACAGCAAAAAAATAAAAAATAAATTAAGTAGACTGAAATTCGATTTTTTATGCGGAAAACGTCTGTTTTAGAGGATGGTGGAAGTGGGCGATATAGCAAAACAAAGCATTCACCGTCCTCAAAAATTATTTAAAAAAACTGATACCTCGTTCTGTCAGTAATGTAACAGTTGTAAACGACTGAATGAACTAAATTTAAATGCAAGAGGCTAGGAGTGTACATGGTTGCATGACTCAAAGTTGCTAAAGCGCGTATGGACTGGCATCTGTGCAGTGACCAAACATAATTGATTAAATCAAAATATTAGATCTCAATAAACATATAGAACTGCAAGAGGTTAGGTTAGGTTGAGGCAGTTGTCGGGATCGCCAGGAGCCCGGGATCACCTTGTGATTTTGGTTATATAAATAATAAATATACAATATTTATAACCGTATATACAAACTGATAACCATGTATCATGGTTTTAATGCACGTTTGGTGAGACTCACGTTACTTCCGGGCTTTTCTTTTCCAAAATATGATTGTGTAGAGACAGTTTGGGTATTAACCAGATGATGAAGATTGGACAGCAGTGTAGATTATCCACTGATGTCAAACAAATTGCACAGCCTATATTGTTAATGACAAGAACGTAACCACCACGTCAACTCTTATGCACAACAGGTAGAGTCTGAAAACAAAAACTTCAAAAGTATTTTATTCCTATAAGACTTTTAATTTGTAAAACAGTCTTTTAGTTTGCTATGTATTCATGGGGCACCAAGGAAGTTCGATTTTGTTACCAAGTATAATACGTTATACATTTAGATTATGTACGAGCCATAAATATAAGCCATGCTCCAGAAGCCAACCTGAATTTTTAGTTCATTTATATCAATGCATTTACAAATTTATATATGTATGTATATATTTTTGATTCTCATTCTCTACAGATGCGCTCGTGACAAATTTCCGACTACCATTTGTTCCGCTCACAACCAGTCGCAACCTTTCAAAGTCTTCTTTGATCTGCCGCTAATAAGAAAAACATTAACATCAATATGGTCTTATTGATGGATTTTCACAAAATTGTTTAACTATTAACACCCAATTAGAAAAACACCCGTGGCGATAATTAAAGAGCACAGTCTAAGCCTGTAAACCTTTTGTACCCGGTACTCAAAGCGTACAAGGGTACCTTGTATTGGGGCATGGATATGTAACAGCAAAAGCTTTTAGATCCGATAGATTCATGATCACCATCAATAGACATCAATCAATCCGCAGCTATGTAAATCGATATTGTCATGTCCGCCTCACTGTCCATTAATTTCAGTGCAAACAAGTCTCTGAGCTTTGAAGTTAGATACAAATCCGCAATGATAACTACCATTCATATAATTATAAAAAATATATAGATATTGTAGTTTCAAATAGGATAAAAGGTGAATCTGCCAAGATACTTATCTGATACAATATAACATTTCTGCAATGCGATCGGTAAAAAAAATGTTTGTACAGTACAATCTCACAGATTCGAATTGTCCAGAAATAAGAACCTGCCATTTTAATGTATTAATAAATATTTATATATAACGCCTTCAGATAAACTTCAGATTCTTAATAAAATAAATAGTTCAAATACAATGGCTCTGGCTCTAGAACGGGCAATTTTACGTTTCCACCATCGCAACATACGACAGACAATGAACCGATATCAACTCAGCGAAGATCATGATAGGCTATTGCGCAATCGTATTCGAAAGCAGCGTGATTTAAGTCTACTGATCGAATTTGAGGTGGTAATTGTGCTTCGCGAACCTGTGAACTTCTGCACGTTCCTCTTGCGTTAGATTAATAGGGACATTCCGAATACTTATTTCACGACGTGTACGTCGTCCAAGGTTTGCTCGTCTAATAGCAGTCATATTGTAACTCAATTGATGAATAATAATCTCGATCTTAGAACTAATCTTCGACTATGACAATTTCCTCATCGCTTACTTAGCAGACATTAGTCAAGCACATAACTCAATTGATGAATAATGAACTCATCTTCAACTATGACAATTGGCTCTTCGTCTACTTCCATAAAAGAAACAAATACAAAATCACTTTTTTCGCGATCGTAGGTTGGTTTTTCCAAAATTGTCTTTCGTAAAACCATTCTTTTGGCAAATTCAAACAAATGAGCAAAATTTTAGCCAAATCGGCTCAGCCGTTCTCACGTGATAATGCACTATACATTTTTATCTTTCCATTGTTATATATATAGATAAATATTAAACGTCAAAATAAAACAAATTTTAATCAAAAGTTCTCAAAGAACAACATTTTTTCTTAAATTTGTACGTATGATTGTTAAAGTCACAATTAGTTTGATATGATCCAAGCACTTTTGGGAGCATACCAGTAGGTACATATGTATGTATGTATATTAGGCTGGGCCAAAAAACTGAACTTTCCAAATAATTGTAATCAAGAAAATTTAAAAAAAATTTTTGCTGAATGAGTTGGATAATTGGTGAAATCTATTGCATATATATTGATTACATTCATTTCGTCATTAATCAGTTATTGGCACTAAAAAACCTGCACAAGTTTTTGCGAACTAGTTAACTAAATATATCAACCTCAGCTGAACCTCTTGATTTTCACCAATCGTAAATTTTTTAACAGTTACTACAAAAAAAAATTAAAAATACTTTATCAATATGATAAGTTTCTAAGTTTCAATATTATTTGAAAAAAACCGACGAATTAAATTTTTTTCAAATTTATATTTACCCAATAATTTGTAAATTCTTTTCGTGGTAGCAAACCCCAAACATTAAACTAAAAATTTGAAAAAAATGTTGTAATTTTATTGAATAACAAAGAACAGAATTGTGGGGTGTCCACTTGAAAAATAAGAAAAACAAATTTTAGGTCGAATTTTGGCCCAGCCTTATGTATATACATATGCATGTAGTTTTCATACGAAAATAACAGTATATATTTGGTGACTACGTTTCTTCTACTCGTACGTACATCACATAACTTACACGCCTATTTTACTTGGCGAAAGCGTTTTACTTAGCGGCAAGTTATTAAAAAAATATTCAGATGAATACCGCATCTCCCTTACTACGATCGCTGATGTTTAGTATTTAAGCCAAGCTCAGAAATAAATAATTAATTTTAAAACGGTATATGTAGCTCTAAAAGCTCTGAAACTGATGGAGCAAGTCACTTTGACAGACGGACAGACGGACATGGTAATGCCCGGTCGAATTGGGCGAAAATTATTGTTTATCCATCAGCTGCCTTCTGCCCCCTCAAATAGCTGACTACCATTTATACTTACTTTATACCTACTCTGAAAAGATTTGTTCAAATTGGGTTATTTCCTGTTAATCTTTATACTTTTTCTTTACAGACTTTGCCTTGTGACCGATAATAATTTATATTGCTACTATGTATGTACATACATACATACATACATATGTACATATTTGTTTGTACACTTCTGTAAATGTTTAATCACCATCAACATCCGACACGCCTTAAACAATTTTTAATATATGTACATACATATGTGCATACGAGCATTAAATTTTTTAAAATAATCCCAAGTAGCGCCTATCTTGTTATTAAAACGTTGACTAAAAATATAATCATTAAAAAAATGTTTTCTTCTGGTATTTTAACTTTTATATTCTTCAGATAGTTATTGATCTTACATATGTATGTATACAATCTTATACAAATAAAATAAATAATTTATGGATACGGTATGTGATAAAAATTGTGTAATAGGCTTTCATACATACTAACTACAACTATGCCATGTTTTGGTCCTATTTATCAATTAACCTTAATAAAGAAAGGAACTAAGTTGGATGAATTTACATATCTTCATAAATAATCTGTACAGCAATATTCTAGTTTGATTTATTTATATAGTACGCAAATCATTGTCTAATCTATTTTGGGCTTCCGGTGTCAGATATTGTTGTGTCGGTGCTACCAGAGTTACGTTATTGTAATAGATATTGTGCATATTGGCAAGGGGTGCCGCCATCATGAACAGTGGATGGGAAATAGCAAGTTCATATGTGGTGCTGGGGACTCCTGAGGATTGGAGGTTTCCCGAGCTCAGTCCTGAAACATTGGCTCCTGCGGCATAATGAAGAAACGGTACGTTTCCTGCATTAATAGTGTGCAACGGCGGCAGCGGTCGCTCGCGCTGATCTTCAGTGTGGTTTAATCGACTCATAGTCATATATTCGTCGGACGAAGATGTTGGCGGGTATCTAAAAATTCCACTGCATTCCACTACATCTATATCAGTTCGGTCATCATCCTCGTCTTCCTCCTCCGAATGGTGTTCAGGCTTGTCGGGGGTAATTAGACTCTCTATCGTAAAGGAACGCTTCGGTCGTAAGCTTATCGGACCTTCAATATCTGGACTAGTTATTAAGGGCAAATTGGACAATGCCATATCTGATAAATTAGTATGATTTGCATTATATGTGGAAGTTTGGATAACATCAGGTAGAATTACACCTTGAGCTAAGGGCGTTGATAATTGATTTGTTACCCTTGGCATATGGAGAGTCGAGTCAAGACTCATGGATGCACTGTTGATATCCAGCGACGTCATATGCGATACATTATTACCATTGCGAGTGGTAAAGAAAAAACGATTTAGGTTCGCAAGTGCCGTTAGTTCTTCATTCAGTATGTCCTTATCATTTTTATGCAATTTAAATCGCTTTCTACGTCGTAGAAGACTACCGTTTTCAAACATATCAAATGCTTGCGGATGTAACGCCCAATAGGCACCTTTTCCTGGCCTGTCTGGCCGTCGCGGAACTTTTATAAAGCAATCGTTAAAACTCAAATTGTGTCGCAAAGAGTTTTGCCACCGCTGAGTGTTTTTTCGATAGTATGGAAAGCGGTCTGTTATAAATTTATATATATCGCTGAGAGGTAACATTTTCTCCGGTGAGCTCCAAATGGCCATAGCAGTCAGTGATATATATGAATATGGAGGCTTCTGTTCGCCATATGATTCACGTGAGGGTCTTGGCATTATTAAACAATGGGCAATGTTTAATTATTTAATTCTCCAGGGCTCAATCACGCGTGATCCAACACAGAACTGTGTTAAATATTTCCAAGCAATTGGTTTATAAAATAGCAAAGTCCTCATATTATTACACGATAGACTATATAAATAACATTATTTTTGTTCATCTGCTATGAGATTTTTTACAACACTATATTTTGTGTTTTTTTCTTTGTTCAGCTCATTAATTATTTAATTATTTGTTGTATTTTATAATTGAAGGTATAACATTTAAGGGTTTTTCACGTCTTTAATACATTTTGTAACGGTAAATTATTGAAAAACATGAGAAGCGAACAAATGTTTTATCCGTTGCAGGAAGTAGTATCCAATTGAAATTGTACTTGACATGGTGAGGTGAGGTCAATAGCGACGGCAAAACAAGATCGCGAACTGACGGCAATAAAATCTCCACAAGAACTAAGCTTGTTATAAGCCTCAGCGACAACACTGAATGTAAAAGCACTCTCACTGAGGTTTCCCTGGTCTGGCAAATTACCATCTAAAGCTGAATACGAATACGTGAGCGGCGGTGGTAGCGAACTTGAAGCGAAGATAGCGATAGAGAGGGAACAAAACAAACGACAACAAACGAAGAACACGGCATACAAAAAATTACTGTTTCAGCAGACTAGCAGACGACGCGCCGGTTATTGTACTAAGTGAGCAATGCCGTACAACCAACCACAGTGAGCAATGCAATCAAAATATAATCACTCACATCATTGCCCCCGTGCTCTCTCCCAATCACCGCGATGCGAACATGCATCATCCCTCCAAAACGGCGAAACTTCAAAGAAGAGAGCCAAAGCAAAGAGTCTGAGATTTACTAAACGAATAAACCAGTCTGACCAGACCACACTACGCCAGAGCAGGCTATGGCTATGGGAAAGGGGCTCTGCTTCAGATACGGGGAGTGTCGTAGGTTTTAGCTTAGCTTAAGCTACGGATATACACTCGACAAGAGGCCAACCAACCGCCCTGGCAGCTGGGTATGGCTAACAGCGAGAGAGGTGTTGAAAAAGAAAATTACAACCACTTTACCGATTTACTGATTTTACGTTTTCATAATCTTGTTAGTTGATTTGCCTGCTTTTGGACGCAGTCATTATTCTACAGAACGTTAAAACCTAAATCGTACTGCCACTGCATTTGTCGAGCGTGAGTATGTTCGGTCCCACATCGATTTTATAAGTGCGAAAGTCAATTAAATACTAATATGTATAGTTTCCGAGCTCTGAACATAGTCCTACTTAACGATGCTATTTGTATAATAAATATCAAAAAAACTAGTATAGCTAGTATACATATGTACAAAAAGTTAAATTTCGTATAATTTATATACCATTGTACACATCAACAGAAATTCATTTATTGATAATTGGCCTTTTCAAAGCGATAATTAGGTGATCATCTTCATCATCAAGTGTAAGTGGGGTTAACAACGAAATGCCGCAGCATGGAGAGCGACGGCTAGCTGACGACCGACGCGAGAGCGAGAGCGCACAATCAACACTTAAAGCGGGATGGTATGATGGTAGCTCTTCTTATTTGTCTATACACAAAAAACCTCGAATTGGATTGGCTATTGTAGAAATACATTTGTTTGGGCGGGGCTTAGGCGGTTTCTACAATGTAACGTATCGTACGTATGTATATACATACAAATGTACGTATATTTTTCATTAGTACCTCCTCATCATTCCGAAAATGTGTGTTCCCAATCTATCAGGAGCAATGAAACAACAATTCCAATAAAACTAGATGTACATACATATGTACATATATTTATGAAATCATTTATATTAAAATATTTGTATGTATTATAGAATTTCTCGGGTATATACATACATATGTACATAGACACAAAATATTTATTTATGCATTAATCTTAATTCATATGTAACATGTATATGTAACATGTATATTTATATAAATATATGTACATATGTTTGTGCATATGTATAATTTTCTATTGAATAAATCTACCATCTACATTTAGTACTTTATTAAAAAAGAGATAGGGTTATTCAGAATTCGGAAAGTCGATTGTAAGAGTGGTAGAGAAATGCAATGTACACTTATTTATGGTGAATCTACATGGACATAATGTCCAGCGATTCGAAATTAGACTTATCACTAATTTCACGACTTTTGTGCATAAATGGAGCTGAAAGGAACAGTTTGAACGATGTTGCTTTCCAATAAAACAATTGTTAGTTTATTAACATAAACCTGCGACGTAGGTGGTGTTTTTGGGAATTTCAACTTGCAAAGTTGATTGACTTCTGAACGAAGCAAGATATTTTCATAAAAATATTTTTTAATATTTTTTGGTGCCATAAAGAACTGTTAATGATCATTACATTATATCTAAAAGGTATACTCGTAATTAAAACAAATTTAACATTTAAAACCAAACTATTTGCTAATTCTGTTGTGATTTCGCAAGTTTAATGTATGGATGGGTTTTTTTTTTTTGCTGCGAGTAGTAATATTGCACAATATTATATGAAGTTCCGATAAGAGTAGTTGCAATGAATTGACCTGTTGGTCATTGTTTTTCTTTATACCGCGATATACCGGTGTACCGGAAACAAATTTACGACTGCGACACATCTTGATTTATAAGCCTCCTTTGCGCAACGCTCTGCAGATTTCTAAGCTCAACAAAACATATTAGTTCAATAGGTTTTTTTTTGTTAGTCAAGTCATTGCTGCAAAACCACAAAATTTGGTTTATAAAATTTCGAGCGCACATAAGTATGTACGTAGTACATACATAGTTAGTTAAACTAACGAATTTTTAGACAACAAATATATATATTTTTTTAATGACTTTAACTAAAAACTCGATTTATTTAAAGCATACATTTTTAAAAGATCTGGAAAATTCTCTATCTTATTCATAAAATGTTTTACTTTTGCCACCTGATTTCGGGTAAGTCCCCACTGTGCGACGTAGCCCCACTGAAAGAAGTCTAAGGACGAGCGGCCAATCGCATGATTTTGGCGACCATCCCACATCGCCTCTTTTGGAAACTGCACGCTTTGGGAACATTTCTTGCAGCAACTCAATTGTAGCGCCGGTGGTTTGACGCGTCGCGCCAAATTTTTGAAACCACATGACATTCTGGTCAATTTGTCATTCCACTGAAGCCAAAAAAGTTAGTTGGCATGTCTTATTATCGTTTTCTATTGACAGTCACCGCCTGGGCCTTCTCGCTTCGGAGCATATGATGCCTCCTGACAGAAATCCACATGAAAAAATATATAACTTATATAATTTAGTCGGGATAAAGTAAATTCCAGTCAATCTCCAGTAAATGCAAGTTATCCGGAGCATTAACAATCGAAACTGGTTTCATGTGTTATAATTTTGAAAGTCCTTATCGCAACATAAGAAAACGAACTGAGTAGACGCTAAATATCCAAACAACATACTAAGAATCAGAAAAAATGGCTAACCCTAGTATCAGAGAGAGAAGAGATTTTATTCGGTCAACAAGAGGTCAACAACACAGGGTATTAACACATGTAGTTTCAGGCACCTGCTAGCATTCAATGCGACTCAATTACAATAAAATGATGTTTTCAGTCGAGAACGTACGATTAGAACATAGACAAGAAGCAAAATAAAAACTAGAAGGAACGTTGTGAATCGCTGCTGTGTTCGTGACTATACTTTTATACCTTCTATACTTTTATATACAAGCTTATGATATGTGTGAAATTTTGAAATATTTTATATTTTACATTTTGTTGCTACATCTTTTGTCTACATCTACAATGTATATTCTACATCTTCTCCCCGAAAGGTCTCGCCCTGCACAGGGCAGATTGTGTGCGAGCGAGAAAGAGCATAAGTAGCGTCTGCAGCGCTGCGAGGCGCTGGATGAGCAGCTGAAAACTATTTACTTTATTCTGGCCACGCCATTTACTGGACATTGGGAATGGGAAGTTAGCGGTGGAGCAGACATCTGAACGAATTTCTTTTTCGGAGGATTTCTTTAATTTAGGCACAACGAGAAAAGAATTGATCGAAAGTGTAGTTCCTCAGAAATTTTGTTTAAAGCTTTTTTCAGAGGTAGCGCTGGTTTTTTTCACATAACTCTAGTATCTTACGTCTGGTTGTAAAGAACTTTGAAAACTTTGAATTTTGAAAAGATAATGAAAACAGCTAGAAGTTAAGCCCAAACACTTTGTGATTTCAGCTTACTGTCTGGGAAATATAAAGCATTGAAATGCAAAAATGAAGATTTTTGTGCGGTATTTTTTACGAAATTTTGACTTAAAAACTCAGGAAAAGTCGAAAGAAAATTATATCCTATGTACTCTATTTTTTTTTGTATAGGTGCATAATTTTGGCGTCGTTTAAGGTATCGATCATTAAAATCTATGGAGAGACTTTGGAGCTAAAATTCGTTAACCAATCCTAAAAAATGAAAAAATTGTACAAAAAATACCTTTTGGAAGGTTGCGGGCCCACGACCGCTTAGAGGTGAAGATGTTATCATGGCTTAAATTCCAATGATTCCAAAGCCATTCCAATTTAAACGATTGCAATTCCCGACTCGATTAACGTTTGCAATCACAATTAACAAGGCCCAAGCATCTTTAGAATTTTGTGATTTAGATTTATACAAGTATTGCATTTTACATGTACAATTTTATGTTACGTGTTTCCGTGTCGGTAAACCAGTAACAACGCAGAAAATGAAAAAACAAAAAATATATACATGTATATACACTCAAGATTAAACTTAACTCCATAAGCTGGACTGGGGGTTAACTTTTTAAAAGAAAGGATAGCGAGTGGATTATAACGACTATATATTTATGTATCTCCAATGTAAAATTGTACAAATGTAACCACCAAATGTATATTAGTTCTGGTTGCAGGACATTTTTTAAGTACACGCTATTCCATTTAAGCGTGAATCTTATTTAAATTTATTTAAGAATCATTTACAGCACTTTGAATATGCATATCCAATTGGAAGGCATAACAAATTCTACACATAAATTCTTGTTTCCCAAAGAACAAAATTTTTAATAAAATTATTGCCGCTGAGGTTCGCTCAATTATGTATATGTATAATGTAATCACAGACACAATCACAACAAATTTCATGCTATGCAATTACAACGCATTATGAGGAATTTGTTAACAGGGGGGGATGGTCAAGGTATTTAACCCGGAATAATAAATCTTTTTGTATTCGCCGCATTTTGTGCTCAATTCCCACCCAGTAGGTTTGACATTTGCCTGTAAATGCGAAATAATCAGGACTTCCGACAAACAGAAATTTACGCTTTAACGGAATTTGTTTCGGTATACGGTTAACAGTTGTTACAATTATCCATTGTTTGCTACATACAACCACAACGGAAACCAATAAAAGTAAACAAAAATCATGAAAAATCAAACCTTAACGACGAAATTAATATAACGTGGTAATATAACTGGAAGAATAATTCATTAGAAATCCATTATTTAAAAAATAAAATGTAATTCGGTGCGTTGTCAGGCTGATTTTCCTTTGGTGCTAAGAATTACAGACAACACCAACATGTAAAGTTAATATGTATTTATTTATTTAATTAGTGCAGCTTCAAAATTAAATTATTCGTTTTTGTAATTTTTCTATTGCGAAATGAACTGTACTGTGCACGACCCTTCGTATTTACGGGTATACATATGTGCGTACGTTTAGTCTCTACCACCTGTCGTATAGAGCGGAACAATGCCTTAAGTTCAAGTTTACATTAAATAATG